AGGTATTTCTCTTCGCCAATATAAAGAACCCTGCTTCGTACCTGCGTACGTGCTGACGGAAGATGCCACAGGCTATAACGGTGACCAAGGTTTGTTTCCCCATAATCCATATTTCATCCCACATGTAGGCTAGCTTGGCTACATATGTACATACCTAGTTAGGCCGAGATGTCTGGAGACTTGATAAGCTTATCATCGGACCTAAATCGGTGCCGAACCCGACATCTCGTCCCCGACAACCCAACTTGACCGAGCTGTCACATAGATACTAATAAACGGAACTTCTTTCTTCCCCCTTACTCACTGAACTTACCTATTAATCTAGAGCGAGATGTGCCATGAAACGCCAACCTCCGCCGGCTGAACCAAGCATCGATCGACGATACCGACGGCGCTGTGCGACGTGAGCCGACTCCAGCCTGTCTTACACTTCTAGTTAGCAATTAACCACGATTAACCACATACCTACCCTGCTACCTCAACTATACGGCAAGCGCGTCGTCCGCATCCATTCTTAGCTCTTTTAGCTCTCTTAGCTCTATCCCACCGGCTCGACAATTCTAACCTTACGTCACACAAACCACAGTCGTGCTTCAGTGTTCGAGTATACATAGAAAGAGCGGAGGGCGTTCACAGCCATTGTATGCATGTATGTACGTCCCTCGTCGCCCTTGATAAAGAAGAGCCGGGCGACGTCGCATTGAAGCATTCCTCCCACCTTAGTTTGCCTGCGTATGGAAGGTCCTGCGTAGTATTACTACTGACTTGGCGGGATTCTGCGCACTAAATCGTTTTATTTGGTACTGTCAATTTTAACCCTATGGGTTGTCCCGAGCAAAGGAGAAGCAAATCCTCTCGATAATATACATATACATATACATATACATATACCTATACCTATACCTATACCTATACCTATACCTATACCTATACCTATAGCTTTAGCTTTTTCCCACTCCCCCCAAGGCCCCTTCTACATTCTGTAATACAGCAGCAGCCGCGTCTCCTCCTCTTCACTCCCTGAAAAGCGAACATCGCGCGTTTAATCTAAACTAATGAATGGCTTGATGAGCCGTCGCTAATATTTCCTACGCTTGCCTGTACATACATGCAGACCTACTTATACCCGATATATATATGCACAAGCAGACATACATACACATAGCATACATACGTCCCAATCATCGCATCGGACCTCCAGGGTCTGAATGATACCCGCTGTGCCGCTTGGCTCGGTCCCGAACGAGACTCGCCGCTGTGCCGCGTTCTGCTACCAATCAGCAACCGTTATACGAGCCTAGTGATCGCGCAAAACAGACCTCGTCGTTGTCTAGCTCCGGTTGTTGCTTCCCGTCGGGACCGACCTGAGCAACATGAACGTATCAATGCCAGATACGCCAGAGTCTGGCGATGGTAGCGCCGGACACCTACAGGCTGGCACCTCGCCGGGCTCCTCGGAAGCTGCAGCCCCGCACCATCACAGCGCCGCGAGGGACGACCCCTCGGTCATCAAGGTCACGAGAGGCCACTCTTGCCAGCTGTGCCAACAGCGCAAGGTTCGTTGCGACAAGTCGAAGCCATGCTCCAACTGCGTCCGAGCCGGGGTGGAGTGCCGAGTGGTACCTCCTCAACCGCCAAGGCGCAGGAAAAGGCGGATTCCCGAGAGAGATCTCGTCGACCGCCTGCGCAAGTACGAGGCTCTTCTCTCACAGAACGGCATAGAGTTCGAGTCCCTAGGCCCGGATGTCAAGATCACCGATCAAGGTACTGTCGAGGAGGGCGACGAGCTCGAATCCGACTTCATAAGGCCAAGGGCCAAGGAGTCGCCCGCAGGTGGCCCGGGTCCGGGCGAGGTCATCTCGTCTCCTGGGGAAACTCCGCATGTACCTAAGTAAGTGTTTGGAGCGACTTGGCATGTGTTCTCCCAAGTCGCTATCGTTTTCAGGTCTAACGAAGACACAGGACTTTCAGGTGGTTCCCCTTCCAGAAAGAGGTCCGTATGCGGTACGCTTGTCTGTGTATATATTCAGTCTAACTTCCCGCAGTATCACGCAGCCTCAGACCTTGTTCGTGACTCCTCGGACGAAGAGGACGTCGGCTCGTCGATCAACCAGGCTTATGACAAGATGTTCACCAGCAACGGGGGCTTCCCCTTCAGCATTGGCGGCCAGTTCCAGAGCGTAACAGACCAGCATCCCTCCGCCATTCAGATATTTCAGCTGTGGCAGATTTACCTCGACAACATCAATCCCGTCCTCAAACTGACGCACACACCAACTTTGCAAGTGCGCATAATAGACGCTAGTGCAAACTTGCAGAAAGTGTCGCGGAGTCTCGAGGCTCTCTTGTTCGCGATCTATCTCATGGCCCTCACCTCTATGGCAGAAGAAGAGGTACTTGCCATGTTCAATGAGAAGAGGACGGTCCTGTTGTCCAAGTATCAACAGGCAGCACAACAGGCGCTAGTCAATGCCGAGTTCATGAGGACGCCGGATCTAACGTTATTACAAGCGTACCTCCTATACACTGTAATAAACCACGCCCGCTCCTGGGCTGATACGTTCTCCAGCTAATGTGTCTTAGATGGGTATCCGCCAGTTTGTCGATCCCAGAACAATGTTCTGCCTCACCGGGATTGGGGTTCGGCTGGCACATCGGATGGGCCTGCATCGTGACGGGGCCCAGTTTGGCCTTTACCCGTTCGAGGTTGAGGAACGAAGGCGTTTGTGGTGGAATCTTGCTGGCTTCGATAGACGGTTGGGTGAGATGACGGGCTCAGTCATCACAGCCATATCCAACGGCGGTGACTGTAGATTGCCATTGAACATCAACGATGCCGACTTGCACCTTCATGCCAAAGATGCGCCGACACCACATACAGGGCCAACCGAGATGATGTTTGCCCTCTCTCGGCTCGAGTTCTGCAAAGGGCCTGGAAACGATAAGATGAAATCCCCACTCATGGACAACCCAACAGCCGTAGCAAACCTTGCAGATCATCGGCTCGCTACGTTTATGGAGAGATTTACGGCACATTTGGAGGATACATATCTCAAGTTCTGTGACCCAAAGATACCGTAGGTCTTTGTAGTGCTTTCGCCCTGTCTCCTGTGCCCAATCTCCCAACCCTGTAGCTTCTAGCCCCTGAAGAGAGCTGCCAAGTTGCTAACTTTTCGTCGTCATGTAGGCTGCATTATATGACTATTCTGATGACTCGTTCACAAATGTGCAAAAATAAGATAATGTCGGGGTTCTTCCGCGCCGCCATCTCTTTCAACTCTTCTGCACGTTCCTCGAAATTGCCGACATCTGAGAGCGACGCCCTGTTTGTCGAAGCAATCAAAATGATCGAATACGATGGCCTAATGTATGAGCATGAAAGCCTGAAAGGGTTCCGCTGGTACATGATGATGCAATTTCCCTTCCCCGCCTATGTATGTCTTCTCAGCGGGCTGCGGGAACGCACGACGGGCGAGCTGTGCGAGAAAGCCTGGGACGCCATCTGCCAACACCATGAACGCAGACAGATCATGGGACACCTGCGCACACCGCTCCACGTGGCCTTTGCCCCCCTGTTCGTGAAGGCATGGGATGCCCGCGAGGCAGCCGAAATCCAGCACGGCCGCACCATAGCACCGCCCAAGCTCATCACTCTGCTACGGCAGCGGATCGCAAGCATGCCGAAGCGGGCGAAGAAGTCCCCAGTACCGGAACACGGGAGTCGGAGTGTCTCCGTCACCACCGAAGGCTACGCCGCGTCGGGATCGGTCCCGCCGCCGCCAGTGCCGCCGCCAACCGCGCAGCAGTCGCAACACCCACATCAACCCGGCCCGGAGTTGACGGCGAGCATGGGGTTCTACCTGAACCCCGACCCGTTCGGCGCGTTGGACGGCAGCGGGAGCATGCCGCGGCAGTTCCCGGCGGCGTTCCCGGAGCTCCACTTCGGTGGCGAGATGGACTGGGACTACCTATTTCAAGAGTACAGCGGGTTCATGGTCCCGCCACCCCCGCCACCCCCACCGCACCCGCAGTACCAGCAGCAGCAGCAGCAGCCAGTTGCTCAGGGGGTTTCGGCCGCGGCCGCGGCGCACGATCCGAGCCAACACCAACACCAACACCAGCAGTCTAGTAGTATCTGGTAGGTGGGTGGATTGTACGATATATATACATGTATACGAGGTGTCATTTTAGGTTTCGTTTGGTTTGGTTTGGATAGTTTCTCCGTGTGTAAATATATATACCCTTATGATTAGCTACGACTTGATTTCTGATTTTATATCGCTTCCGAGGTGCGCAGTCCAGGTACTTAACTAAGTGCAGACATCCACTGCAATAGTTGTCTGACAAATATGGATGACCAAGGTGTAGGTAGTGGCTTAAGTATATGTATTGGCGTGGACAACAAGACCTGACGAGTCAGGGAGTAAGTTAGGTACTGCTATCTACGAAAGTATCCCGAGATATGTTTTCAGGATATGAAGAGTTGCTTACGTGACTTGGACAAGGTTTTGGAAACCACAGTTAGAAAGAAACGATGAGGACTATTTACTGTTACGGGGCTAAGATCAACCCGGCTTCGCACTGGTGCTGCAGTGTCGTTTATCAGGAGGACTTGAGTCCTAGAAGGGCACGTTTGGAGCAATCGAATCGAATATTAATTATTATTTCCAGAAGCCCAGATATGTGTTTCTCTATTGGCCGAGGTTCTATGGTTAAAAGGTCATAGATACACCTAGGTACACATGTATGTATATAGCAGGCAAGGTTCACTTGGTAGGCACCTAGAATTCACCATATTGCTTGGGCACACACATCCATACATCATGAAGTCGTTTGAGCGTCCAGCCACTCGCTCCTTCCGAACCGATGCACCTACGCCGGATACATACATGGGGTGCCTGCCTACTAAAACAACAGCATACAAGCAATTCCCTTAACTTTATCAATAAGCCAAAAAGTCACTACATCACTTCCTTTGCATAGTGAAGTGGCAACGTCCGACCGATATGGTGTAAGGGTTTAGCATGACGGATTCTCACTCCGTCGATCAGGGTTCGAATCCCTGTATCGGTGTTCTTTTTTTCTTTTTTGCTCCGGTGTTTCTGTACCAACATCATATAGAAATATGGGGATCCTCTTTTCTATGGATTTATTCTCTACAGTGTTGGCAGTGGCTGGAAGTCTGGTTGCCGGGGAGCTGAGAGATCAAAGCCGAAGAAAAATAATAACTGTAGCCAACTAGAAGTGAGATGGTAGGTTGCAAGTACCTACAGTGCTGTATGCAGGTGGTTATTTAGAGGTAGGCAAGTCTAAACAGACTATGTCTTCCCATTAAAGACGAACACCTAGGTACGTATAGTTGCTACTTAGCCCCATACCCAAGGCCTTGGAGCTACCTACTTGGAGACATCAAAAGACCCAGAGCTTATGGTAGCCTAGATGTGCTTTGTGGCAGACATGCGTAGGATGTGCAATTGACCCGGCTGCCCATCAAGCCCATGGTTAGGTTCATGTAGCGGATGGAAGTGTGATGGATCTATGTATGAAAGCCTACAGTCCGTAACAATCGGTATTTTAGCGAACAATATGTAGGTAGCGTGCACAGGACCAATGATAAATCACAATGCACTTGGACACAACAAACCATACTACCTGTAGGCATTCCGAGGTCCTGATAGGCTGGTTGCCGTATCTTGGTGTACATACATACCTACCTAGGTAGGTACCTACATGCCTGTAGTGCGGCTCTTGCATGTGTGATCTGAACTTCTGAAGGTGGGGGATCGAGGGATCTCAGTGCTGGAGATCTGGGGGAGCCAATCGGGTACTTTCCAGGTTTCCAGATCGGGGCTAGTGCACTAGATCCTTGGCTGATTGTGCGCCCCCACGGCCCCCAAGTTTTCCTTCTTAAGGGCAGACACGTTCCATGCTCCTCCACACTCCCACAAATTCTCCATGTTCCCACATCACCAAAGCAAACAGCCCTTCTCTTGGATAGCATTGTTCTGCAGTCCATCAATCATTTCCAACATCTTTCTAATGGTCATTCATCATGGTAGACATGGCTCCGGCGATTGACATCCTTCAAACTTCGTCTTCCATCTTCGATCTACCTCGTCATCCACCATGACCTTTTGATCTACAACCTTCTTCAAACACACATCAAACATACAAACAAACTCGAAGGATCGGTCAATTTCTATCTCGATTGAGCTTCGGCCCCAAGGTAAATTCCCTCCCTCGCCCTGAGTCCAGTATGTGCTTGCTACGTCAGGTAACTAACATCCCCCCC